TCCTGACGACGTCCTTGTGCTATTTGAGAAGGACATCTGGTGGTTTTAGTATACCCTGTATAATATTATTGTACTTATATTATTGTACCAATGAGTACATTAATATAAGTACTTATAAAACTATTCTGTATGAGAGTAATCAAGGAATCCTTACGTCCAATAACATTTATGTTCGATTATATATTATTTTGAGTTTTGTTTATAAAACTTACAAAAATATGAAAACATCTTACTGATGCTTTTATCCTTCATAATTTTAAAATCAGATCTTGCAAAGAAAGAACAGATAAACCGTTAGATTATAATGTAATACAAACATTTTCTTATATGCTATGTGGACGCTTATGGAAGATTTTTATTTACAACAGTATTTAACATTCTAGAATTATTTCTGAAGTAAGTTTTATACATAAAATATTTATATAAAATATTTACAGTAATACAACTATGTCCTGAAAAGATCCCAGGACATCCCGGAACATATTCAGGATGATCCTGAGGACGTCCTGTGCTATCTGGGACTAGACCAACCAGCAGTTTTACTCTTTTAGGGTACAACCTGCCCTCCTGGATACGTGTACTGTTGTACATCCGGCGGCGGGGGTACGAACAATCCTAATTGCGGTGTTCGAAAAATCCCACCCTCCGCGCATCCGGTGGGACAAGCCGCTTACGGTGCGTATCCCTGGATGGTGGCTATTTTGACCAACGGCAACGTTTACGTCGGGGGAGGAGTGCTTATCAGTACAACACACGTCCTCACCGTCGCTCACAAAGTAGCAAATTATGTGTAAGCATCGATCATGGGCGCAAATTTTCAGAAGGACGTGCCTCTTGTGACTTCGATCTTATTATCAATTTTCGAAAAGTTCCTGAGGCCTGGCATTAATGTCACGTGTAGACTTTAATATCTTATTCTTCGTTATATTCATTAAAAATGCGTTGCAGGAACGGCGGGATCAAAGCGCGATTAGGCGAGTGGGACGCTCAAGCTACTACTGAACCTAATCCGTACGTAGAGATCTCTGTCTCAAGAGTCACCCTGCATCCTCAGTACAATTCGCAAAACCTCCAGAACGATATAGCGGTGCTTAAACTGAGCTCCGCTGCTCCCGTCGCAACTAGTCCTAACATCAACACGGCGTGTCTGCCATCTTCAGCCGCTGCCACAGGAACGAGGTATAATTAATAATATATTCGGTATTCAAAGTCGATGTGATTCTCTTCAATCTATCGACAAAATGTACAATCAACTGTGTACTTTCCATCGTGTACCGCAAATAATTTCTGTATCAAATGTTTTGTTAAGCGAAATGTATCTCAAATATATTATAATTTTGTAATCATGCTTGATAATCGTGATTATATAGAATATCGATATCTTGCAGATGTTGGGTGTCGGGCTGGGGAAAGGATGCCTTTGGAAATAACGGGATGTATCAAAATATCCTGAAGGAGGTAGACGTGCCTATACTGAGTCAAGCGGATTGCCAAACGGCCCTTCGAAGGACAAGACTCGGTGGCCTCTTCGTTTTGGACGGCAGTTTCATGTGCGCGGGAGGGGAACCTGGCAAGGATGCATGCACCGTAAGAGAATGTTTCATAATATACAATGCTTCTTGTCAAGTACGAATGTTATATAGCTGTATCTTGATTATTGATTTAACGCGTATTAATTAAATCTAATATAGTTATGAATTTCCTTTAAAGGGCGACGGAGGCTCACCGCTGGTGTGTTCAACAAACAACGGACCCTACCAAGTTGTTGGACTGGTGACATGGGGTATAGGCTGCGCAGGTGCAGGCGTACCCGGTGTGTACACCAATGTTTACAACTTCCTTTCCTGGATAATGCAACAAATGACATAGCTGTTGAAAATATACAGCGTACAAATTAAACACAAAAATTATGTTCATTAAGCTAAATCTTGTAAAATATTTTGCGATACATTATTAATATATTGTATGTATATCAATACATCGTTTGAAAGAATTAATACGCGCATGTACTTGTAGTATTACAATTCTAAGCCAAAAGTTTTCCAAGATTATAGAAAGAGTAGCTGTAAAAAAAAACCTTGCAGGAGTAGGTATTCTGTAAATATTATATCTGAAATATGGAAATTAATTAAAAACACACATCATTGTAGTTGTCTCTTGTAATTGCCTAAATCTTTAAGAAATACATAAAAAATATACAGACTTAAGAGTTATATGAAGGAAAGAATATAGATATAACAAAGAGACTTGATACTCTTACTTACAAGATTTGCATCCTATCTTACAAAATTACATATAATCAACATATTAAAAATTATACAATACGTATAAATAAAGAACTTCGCAAAGTGGGTTTTTAATAAAACCGTCAATATACAAGTGAGATTTAAAAACTAACTTAGATTATACGTTTTATGCGGTAAATTATGCATTAAACGAGCGCAAAGTCTTCTAATTTTGAAATATTTTCTAAGAAATTTATAGTAAAAATTCAATATTTTATTATTTATATCAGAGCATATAGAGCGTATAGAGCATTATGTAACGTAATATATTTGGTATTAATATGCCTTTGGGTTTTAATTATCAAATATCTTAATTATTTATTATAAGTAAATTGATGGCAAAGATAAGAAAATGACAATTTAATTGCCAAACTATTTCAGAAAGGAAGAGAGTTCATTAATATTTAGGAATTAGAATTGTCATTAATATTGATTAATAATAATTTTAATTCCTACAACATCATGAATGTATTAAATGATCAATTAATATATGCAATTGTCTAACCACTGCCATCAACTGTGTGGTATTAATGAATTCTATGTAGATACACATTTATTGTATTTGTACAATAAATCGTGACGCATCTCGCGTATTTTACTATGGAGGTAGATATTTGATAATGCGATGAGAGCTCAGACAGTTGGTGCATTAACGTGAGGGTGGGGAACTTGGACGGAGTGGAACGATGTTGGATGCGAAGCGGGCAGTGACAACAAGTGTCCGCGTTCCATTTCGTTCACTTCTTGTTGCTCTGTTCCTCCTATAGAGCCGGTCGAACGCGCCAAGCTATTACGCTGTCTGCACATGTACGGAGTTTCTCCAGGTGACGGAGTCTCACGACCCTGTATTACATAAGTTATTGTCTACACACTTTATTTGCAGGTCTTATCAGTAAGGTCAGATGGATAAAACAAAATGTAAAAAATAATAAAATTTTATGATACAGGCAATACTTGTCACAACATGTGTTAAATACGTGTAACAATTCTCTCCCTTGTTAGTCAAACAATTATATATATGTATATATATATATATATATATAAAAAGTTACGTACAATTATGATTCCGCATAAGTGATTATATCAGTCTGACTTGTAACCTGATTTTGAATCAGCATAAATTATTTAATTGTAAAAGAGCTGGTTAACTCTTCAAATAGTTTAAGTCAATTAAAACTGTATCGCGTAATTTTTACTTCGTAAACAATAACTGTACTTTCAAACGAATGTGGTGCAACAGAATTTAGATTTCCAGACGTAGTAGGCAAACTATGGCAATCTACAGTCGTATTTGATTCCGATTTTATTTCTTCTAAGTATCGTCCAGAGTTTTGTGATTTAGGGAACTCTGGTGGAGAATATGTATCTCTTTCCATGCTATACTACGAAATCGAAGAATATATGTATGTGTCATCTGTATGATAAATGATACAAGAACATGAAATGTATAATGATTCTATAATGCGGCACTTACTTGTTTGGAAGGACCACAGCACGTTGCATGATTGCACGGCTTATCAGTCTTTGGGCAATCCAACACGCAATCTTCCGTGGGAGTCTCTTTAATTTCGCTATTAGAATGATACTAGAACAAGAGAAAGTTCTTTTTAGTACATTACAAATATTCAGTAATGTATTTTGTAACGTATTAAAGAGAGAGATATCTAGCAACACAAAAGTATATGCGACAATCGCAAGCTGATCGAAGCATCGTTAGTGAGTCACGGGTAGTTGAGCGAACGTTCACTTTATGCATCATTAACGCTGGACACAAGATCGTGTATTAATGTTAAACGTACGCGTGACTCACAGACTTCTTAACCGTGACTCCTGATCGGGCAGTTTTAAATATATTAAAAAAAAAACTTGCTCGGAAATTGCATGCGCTTTTACTTTGATTTCTTTGCACGAACTTTTCCGTTATGATGTTTTTACATCTCAATTCTGTTACGCATACGGACTTTTAATAATATTGTATCTTTGCTCTTACATCGATAAATTCTGGCTGAATAGTCGTCGAGTGTATACCCTCGTTATGGAAAAATTCCTTAACTTGTTCGGCAATTTTCATATATTCCGAAAGATTTCTACATCTTATGTGCGCACTAGCTATAATACGATCGCCCGCCAATTGCCACACGTGGAACTCGTGTACCGCTAACACACCGTCTACGTTCTCCAACAAACGTTGTTGTATAGCATCGACCTGTACGAATAAATTTGCAAATCATATGCATATTTCCATGTATTTCCGTAAACTCCTTGCTATGCTAAATTAAACTGGCAAAACAATACCTGAATGTGTGTTGGCACAGTCTGCAATAGAATTAAAGCTGATTCCTGAAGTAACGGCCACACCGAACGCAGGATAAGAACGACTAATAAAAGCGACAGCGCAGGATCGATGTAGAATCTATGTAAAACAAAAAAGAAGGGACAAACAAAATTTTAGTTACACTCTTCGTATATAAATCTATATAAATAAATTAAAAATCACATGTCCAATTGTTCACATACAAATCTATATAAAATATCTATGTGAAGTACGTAGGGGAATGTAGAAACAATCACCTATACTTCCACTTCGTCAGCCACACGATTAGGGCAGACACAATTACGATGACGGAGCCCAACGCGTCAGAAAGTACATGAAGAAATACCCCTCGCATGTTCATCTGGCTTGCGTCGTGCGAATGGCCATGCGCTCGTTTTACCTGGGGCGTCGAAGGTCTGTAAGCTTCGTCGTTCTCATTGTCGTCTGTGCCTACGAGGGTGCTCAATCTATTATGACTCCGAGATATACCATGCGAATGACCATGGGCGCTTCCATGCTCTACAACAATTGTACTTGTAAGTATTTGCCGTTTGTGACGATAAAGTAGATTAATTTTATCTTTTATATAAGATACACGATGTGAAATCGATTAAATGAAAGGAAGAAATATTAGCCACTTCTTGTTACAACTGTCGCAATTAAGAAACTCATTGGAGATTAGAATGCAAGATTAATCAGTTCACGAGAGGCAATAAAATAATTAAATTTCCTTCCTTAATATTATCGGTATATAACTTATTTGCTCGAGTAATCCCTAAATATTCGGTTACGATGAGTGCAGTATCAATAAGATAATGAAACGAGTATTGCTGACACCACGTCCCACCAGAGAATTTTTAACATTTACATTGTAGCTCGGATAATTTTTCTCTTCGCAATCTCAAGATATAAATCTATCGTAGCGATTCTACAATTGGAATTTTATTTCTCTTGTATTTACAGAAGTCTTTTATTTCAGATCCCGCTGTGTTAATACGTTTACTAACCAGATATACATTTAATAATCAATTTCTCTTTATCTTGACCCAAGACAAAATCTCTTGAGCACCAATAATAAGATAAGATCGCGACGATGTTGAACAAAGGGCGTTTTATGGAAACATTGGATATACCACTTATTCATTATTATAATTAAGATATCAAGTTATCATGTGATTCGACCACGGAAGGTAATAAGACATAAAATAACAATAAAGTACTTTACTTTAAATATTATCTAACGACAAGAGACAGCAGAAATTTCTGTATTCCGTATTTTCCTCCGAATGCGTGTTTGGTGTACGAATATTTGCTGCCTAAGGTTTCCTTTTTACTCTTCTAAATGGGACAGTTTGTGAAAGCCCTTTAAAACAATTAACGTCTGCGCCGAGATGTCGCATTTGTGCACCTCGAATAATTTGCGGTCTCCACCGAAACGTCGAGCGAGAGTACGCAAAACTTGACTCGGCACGACGCGACGACCCGCGATACTCACCATGGAACAAACATAAGCCTATCACATTCACCAGCAGGCCGAGCGCTCCAACCGCAACGAGCAGTTTGGCCTCGTGTATCTCCTCTACCTCGATGAATCTCTTGCATGCCTCCACGGTAATACTAAAGCATAAAGCGACCAGGAACACGGCGTTCACCAAGGCTCCCAACACCTCGGCCCTTGCCCAGCCGAAAGTGTTTTTCGACCATTTCTTCGGCGACATCTGCAAGGTGAAGGCGCTCGTGAGCAATGTCGGCAATGTTAACGGAGGTGAAATTTCGCTGCGTTCGGCATTGCAAACCTGAGGCGTCGGAGTGTCCTTCCTCCTTCTCTATCCCATTAATTCCCAAAAGAGTACTCCGACGCCTTGGACTAAGGGCCTGAGCAGAATGGCTGTCTTATACTCTTAAGACAGCCTTAAGACAATGTTTCAGCGCTGGTCTACAATACGTGGAATAAGCATGGAGTAAAGGCTGGTCTACAATACGTGGAGTAAGCTGGAGTAAGGAGTAGGAGTAAGGAAATAAATCCATTTTATTTCTTACTCCTGCTTCAGCTCTTAGGCTTACTCTCGGTGAATCAAAATGCCATCAATCAGTGTTACAAATATTTTAAAAATTATGCCCGTATTTCAGCTTCCTTACACCAAAAGCTAGAAGTTAGGGCCTCCCTTACTCCTTACTCCACGCTTACTCCACGTATTGTAGACCACGCATAAGAGTAAGCCTAAGAGCTGAAGTAGGAGTAAGAAGTAAACTGGATTTATTTCCTTACTCCAGTTTACTCCACGTATTGTAGACCAGCCTTTACGTCTCAAGCCTTTGTCTCGAGGTAACGCACGATAACTGTCTCGTGTCTTAAGAGTGCAGGACAGCCGTTCTGTTCAGACCCTAACGAAGCTTACCTTCACCGAGAGAAACGCCACCACCAGAGCGGCCACGTCCGATAACATGTGAAAACTATCAGCTATTAAAGCCATCGAGTTGGTGACGTAGCCAACCACGATTTCGACTAAGAAAAATAAAGCTGTCAGCCATAACATTGTCAGAAGACGGCATTTCTTCCCCGTGTAACGACCCATGATATCTGCGCAGACCTGAAAAAAAAGAGAGAAGACAGTGATCAAGAGAGATCGGATGGTGAAACGGTGCCGCGTGTGCGTCGCCTCAGGAATATAATCTCTCCGCAAGAAGTTTCTAATAATACACGTTTATTTTTATAACCCTTTGAGCCTGCAGACGCAAGGAGACCGCGCGACATTGGACAACCTCGTCGCATTGCATTGCAAACGACGCGAGAGAGAGAGACAGGACGAGAGATGTATCTTTCCCGTTGACGATCGCGATGTACCGAGCTGGCTCGGACGCGAACGAGTCGGTAACGTCGGACACGCGGAAACTTGCCGGGATCCGGGACGATGTTCGGGAGACACCGAGGATTTGTCAATTAACGTGGGCCGCTGCCGCGTGAAGCCCGGTGGATCTTGCCGCGCCTTCTTTTCCCCCGTGCTCCTTGCTTGTTTGTCGCGTGCGCGCGAACTTCGGACGACTGTGCGGTGCGCGCGGAAGACTCGCTCGCTCTAGGACGATCGAGGACGACGGGATCGCGCGCCAGCGGACACGTGCGTGTCCCGAGTCGTCACGCGTCGAGACAATTTTCCTTATATCCATTTGCCCAAGTCCGGTAACGGGAGGGAGGCCGGGAGGGAGGAAGAAAGAGAAACGAACGTGAATCACGGCGGAACGGCGAGGAAGGTACGTGATTCATCGCGCGTGGAAAAAAAGAGAGAGAGAGAGAGAAAGAGAGAATCACGCGCCGCGAGTCTAGGACGTTTCGGGGCGCGGATCGTGAGATCGAAAGACAGCTGGACCTGGGTATGAAAAGTTTCGCGAGTACAAAGTGTATCAAGCGGAGCTCGAGGGTAGCGAAGGAGCGCCCGACGTTACCGACGCGAACGCCCGGTTGAATTTGTGCCGACGCGGATTAGCTTCGATCAGTTGCTTTCTTGCTTTCTTTCGCTTCCTTCCAGTTTCAACTATCAAGCCCGGTCTCGGTAATGAGTCGTCGGTCGGAAATGCACGTCGGTCCTTTCTTTTTCGCCCAAAAAGACAAAGGATCGATACACAGTTCCGACTTCGGGGGGGGGGGCCGATCGCGGTTCTCAGATTGGGTGAAAATGACGAAAGTGAGTATAAAGGTTGGTTTGTGCAAGACCGCAACTGTTAGCTTATGCCGGAATCGGTAAAAATTGTCCAATCACCGTTAAAAGTGAAGAGAATAGTTGACTGTAATTGGTTAATTTTTACCGATTCCGGCATACGTTTACGGTCTTGCATAAAACAGCCTTAACTCACCCAATTGCGGTTGATCTCGCCTCGTGAAAATACGAGATTGCTCGCGCGAGCGGGTTCGACATGAAATTTTGAGGTGAAATAGTGATGTTATTTAAAACAAATGGAGATGTTATTAACAGTGTTTATGATGCGCCGTCGGGAAAATACAATGTTGAGGATCCGTAGGAGACTACGAGATGCCTCAAGTCCACTTTCAGCGCCAGAAAATGAATTTAGAAGTATTTGTAGGCGAGTGACTAAAAATAAAATATTTTAACAACATAACCTATTGTTTGATATGAAAAGTTAAAATCGAGAGAACGAGACGTAAATTTGTCTCGGTCTCCGCCTTAACCTTACCTCTTTCAGCGTGAAAGTGTGAAAATATGAGATTAATATCCCGGAAGTGCCTAGTGATCTCGCAGTTTCACTCGACACAACCGTAATTGGACGAACAAAGTCACGCGAGATGAAAATGTGGAAAGTGAGGGAGCTCACCCAAAAACGGCCATAGACATATAAAAGATAGACTGCTTATGAGGTAGTGGGGGATGTCCTCCTGAGGGAAAAGGACAACACCAATTTATTTGGGTATCTATCTTCTTCTAGTGTACGTGATCACGTGATTGCCTTCAGATCACGTCCACTAGAGGAAGACAGATACCCAAATAAATTCATGTTGTCCTTTTCCCTCAGGAGGATGCCCCCACCTAGGGTTCCACTGCCTCATAAGCAGTCTATCTTTTATATGTCTATGAAAACGGCTAACAACTCATTGTCGACCGGGCCTTAGGAAAAAGGTAAATCGAGATCAAAGCTGTTTCACGTTGATGGGAATGTGGATACTTTATCTGTTTCTACCATCGCAGGCTCAATCTTGATCTCGGCTCGATCTACCTTGTCCCTTTTGTGAGCTTTGAGAATCAGAGAAAGGTACACAGTAAATCGATCCATAGGCTTGTTTTCTGTTGCTACACTGGTGAACTAGTGCAATAAGTTAGAGTAGGACAAGTATATTTTTTCTCATTCTAGCTTACTGCACTAGTTCACCAGTGCAGCAATAGAAAACAAGCCTCAAGATTACAGCCGACTCGCATTGACAGAAATTGTTATTTTTCATTCTTTTCTAGTTACAAAAATTAAAAAAAAAAGTTAAACCGAGACCGGAGCTGACCCGTAACAGCACGCACGTCTAAAAGACAATCTTTAGGGCGTCTTTAAGTCGTCTTTTAGGCCCGGTCTACAATGAGTTGTTAGTCGTTAGTCAGAAGTCGGAACTAAATGTCGGTCCTTTTTCTTCCACCCAGAAAGGAAAAGGATCAACATCTAGTTGCGACTTCTGACTAACGACTAACGACTCATTGTAGACCGGGCCTTAAGTCCCAGTCTACAATAGATGATTTAAGCCCTAAGCTTTAAGAAATTGGCCAATCACGGTCAAGTGTGAGCAGAATACGCGACTGTGATTAGTCAATTTCTTAAGGCTTAGGGCTTAAATCTCTATTGTAGACTGGGACTAAGCCTATCACACAATGCCGGGCAACAGGCAATAGGGAATAGAATTTTTGACGCGTTGGATTCGTCGGAAATTTTCTTCCAACCAATCCAACGCGCCAGAAATTCTATTCCCCGCTCCTGTTGCCTGGCATTGTGTTTGGGCCTTTAGATATGTATATCTAAAAGACGACTTAAAGATATCTTTTAAACATGCGTGCTTTTGTGGAAATATTGTGTCCATTTCTACCAACGCGGATCAATTCTCTTTCGCGAGCTTTAGGGCCTGAGCAGAATGGCTGTCTTATGCTCTTAAAGCCCGTATCAGACTACGGATTGAGATTGGGATTAGATTGAAATTTGACCAATCAGAATAAAAGTTACTGAACTTGAGATTAGTAAACTTTACTGTGATTGGTTAAATTTCAATCTAATCCCAATCCGTAGTCTGATACGGGCTTAAGACAATGCTTGATGTTTTAAGCCTTTGTCTTGAGGTAACGCACAATAACTGTCTTATGTCTTAAGAGTACAAGACAGCCGTTCTGCTCAGTACGGGTATTCTGTAACTTGCAATCGACGCTTTTCGGTATCGTTAACTAGCGACAGCCAATGGCGAGGACGATCTTCGAAAAAGACACGCAGATTTTCATTGGTTGTTCCCAGTTAACGTTATTGAAAAACCTCGATAGCAAGTTACAGAATTCCCGTACAGGCCCTTGGCATCGGAAAAACATTTACGGTAAGTGGATCCAAGATTAAAGCTGATTCACGTTGGCAGACGGTTTATCGGTGTTCCATTTCCCATCGACGCCGATCAATCTTGATCTCGGTTTACTCATCCTTTTCTAATTACAAAAATTAGAAAAAAAAGTTAATCTGACACCGAAGCCAATTCACGCCGGAGAAATGTGGCTGTCGTGTCCATTTCCACCAGACGCGGGTCAATTTTGATCCCGGTCTCGTGCGCATCCTTTTTCAGTTCAAAAAGTTAAAAAGCAAGATGGACGGAGATTAAACCCAGCCCACATCGGCAGAAATGACCGCGATACGGAATTGACTTAACAATTTACAATCTTCGTGTTCTCGCATGTATCGCACGCGCACGCATTCACACACAAAAATAAGTTCCCGTCATGCAAGCGCGCGCGAGCGCGCCCGCGCACACACGCATTTCGTCGTGAAAAGAATAGCCGATAGTATCAATGCTCCCCGATAATCTGCGGGCCCAATCGTGCCGCGGAGACTTCTCCAGAATCTACGGCGATCGTCGCAACGGTATCGCGGCGGTGGGTGCGGAGGCGAGGAGAAGGGAAAGAAGAAAAGGTACTCACCTGCGAGAGGGCAACTCACCGTCGCGCCCGTTCGCCCCTCGAATCGCCCCGTCGCGAGCTCGCCCGCCGATCGGTATCAAGTGACGCTAATTGAACACGGCGCGTGAAGACCGTCTCTGGACATGTTCCGTCGCGCGCGCGATCACGCGTACGCGCAGAACGCGTCGCTGGCAGGTACGGAGAAGGCACACGAGATCGGCTCGCGATGCACCGCGGCGCCCATGGCTAAACTGATCCTCCTTCCCGCACGCCGCGATAAACGAGGCGTTGTGCGCGACTTGCGCGTCGCTGGCCCGCGTTCGCGAAACCCCCGTCGGGGCGCCGTCCTCGCGGCGTCCAAGTCCGACCAATCACCGCGGCGTTAGGCCGAGAGCGCAACTCTTGGGCGACGCGCGAAGGAGCCAAGGGCCGGTTACACAAACGTCGGTTAACTGTTGACCAGACGTTTAGGGGCAACTCCCTATCTTTCGCTATCTTATCTAAGAGAATCCTCGCCTTTGTGTCCATTTGCACCAATGGAATTTCCGCAGATTAACTTTTGATCTCGGTTTAACTCGGTTTAGCGTTTTATCGTTTTCTAGTTTCCGGAATTTGAGCATTAGGCCCGGTTTCACCAACGTCGTTTAACTTTAGGCTTAGCTTAATTCGTTCCTCGTCTCTTTCCAACTGTTACTTTAGAAAGAGACAAACGTGAATTACACCGAGACTAAAGTTAAGCGACGTTTGGTGAAACCGAGCCTTTAGCCGAACATCAGAGTCGTTCATTTGCATCCTCGGGGTGAAAATGAAGGATTTTGATTGGCTATTCAAAAGCGTGTATCCTCAATAAAAATAAAATTGTTTTGTAGCTAAAACGAGACGATTCGAGCAGCATTTCGTTCGAATTTCGATACTTAATTTTTAACGCTACTCGTTTTGCTTCAGTCATAATTCTGTTAATAATTGATGGATTGTTATTTCACAAAGATGACTTAAGATTCAGGCAACTTTACACCTTTTCCTTAATATACCTCCATTCAATCCCAATACTTGAGTGCAAGAATGCATTCGGACTTTCTAAAGTAATTTACTTCGTTGTGGTCTCTTCAAATTGTGGAGCGTTTTCTGACGAGATCTTTTTGTCCTGTACTTTGTACGAAAAAAAAACCACGACGCATTCATATACATATGTATTTCATTTCTGCAATAAAAGCACGCAAAGGAATGCTGGAGGCGACTCTGTCGGTAAATCAAACCATTCCAGCATCCCCTTAATAAGAGCAACTTTCTTACATAATAAGAACAATCGTACAGAATGATATATAGAAGCGAGAATAAAACTGACAGGACTCTAATGCCTGGTTGCACCAACGTCGCTTAACTTTAACTTAATTCACTCTTTGTCTCTTTTTCAAGGAAACAGAGACAAAGAGTGAATTAAGCTATAGTTAAAATTACGTGACGTTGGTGCAACCGGGACTAAGACGATTTTCACTTGAAAAGGACCAAAATTCTCGATCGAAACGTTGTGCGATTCCTTTGATAAAGTATTGCCAGATACATCGAATAAAAAATTTTACCTATTGCGTTTTATTTCAATTAATCCCTGGCGAAGAAACGACTCTCAATATCGACATGATTCTAATTCACGAAACTCATAGAGACATCATTTTGCATATGCAACAATTTATGCAACGAGAATGCTATCAAATGCTCTAAGGTATTTTGTCCCTTAAGCTAAGTCTTGCAGAAGAGAAAAATATATATAAAAATACTCTCGGTAAGCAAAACGTTACACCAATTTGCTAGCAGATTCGAACAGAATATTGACGTCGATTGTTTTAATCTCGTGTTTTATCAGCAGAATGCCAGCGGAAGCCGAGAAGAATCTGTCGCAACTATTTAAATGGAGTATTCTACAGATTCTACTCGGTGTCTGCTGGCAATCTACCATTATATTCTGTACAGACCATTATATTCTCCTAGATCCTATTACGTTTTTGCTGGTACACGTCAATAAATATTTCCAGCGAATACAGAATCTGCTCTCGACAGATGGCTACTTCGAGCTTTCAAGCCAATTCCATCTCGAAAATATAAATTACTCTTAAATTTGCTTGCACGTAAACCTGAAACATAAAACAGCAGATTCGTAAGCGATATAATATACCTACGCATATATATGTAGCGAGAGTTGTATCTTTATTATTTCAAATATTTGTAGCACAGGCACAATACGTTCAACTTGACGCTTCCGAGTAAAATCGGAATCATCAATCGGTCTAATCGTCAGACATATGTAAATACCACATGTTCCTAACGACGCGAGGTGTTCAAGAAAATGTCCACTTTCGAACGCAAAATCTATGCGCGAAAACGTAATTCCTTCCTCTTCCCTCTTCATTTTTAAATCTTTCTCGACGCGCAATTCCGCTGCGGTCTCGATATTCGCGATTTCTTATATAAAAAAAATTTACAAATAAAATGTACATGTTTGAAGACCGGGGGATTTTGTACGCGTACAAAATCGGATACTTAAACAACGTAAGTACATATTGAAGCTACAAAAGTTTTTGTATATCTTTAGAAAATTAAACGGAACGTGTATGTATGGTAGACGTTTAACTCGGCAGTGGTAGAATTTATCGATACGACGGAGTTTCTAGAGACCCATATAAAATTTTTATAATTTGCTTGCAGATAACTGTCACTTTTGAAGATTTATATATACCTATTGTTTAAAAATATTAATTAAAAACTAAGAAAAACTAACTTTTAAGAAGAGACTGATAAATGCATCCAAGTGTGGAATTAAGCAAACTTTACCTCAAAATATCAGAATGTAAAACACATACACGAGCGGGTGAATGAATATACGCGCACACACACACGCACACACACAAATATTCTTATATACGCAAAATTTATAATAAAAGTCCATCTTTATATTTACGTTTTTCGCATTATTCCTCTTGATTTTTAAAATCAATCTAGTTGTATACCTATATTTGTATTTGAAACCTAATTGTTCTTGAAAAATATCGTGTACATTTTTCACGTATTTAATAAATAAAACAATAAATATACTTAAATAGGATTAGGAAACAAAAATCTAGTTGAAAAGACATTTTGATATGTACGCCTGGAATTTATGTAATATGAATAAGAGACCAATTTTTCTACGTATAAAAAAAAGACTCACTGACACTTTAACTTTCTTCTTTCTCTATTTTTACATTTATTGAGATCGATGTAAACGAATTCATGTTTACACGTTAATATTTACAATCAACGTTTGAATATTTCCTTCTAGAAACAAAATTCGAAGTTACCATCCATAGGATGGGATAAGTTACAAATTTCACACTAGAGTAAAAAAGTATTAGCACCGCTTCCTAAAAACCAATCTACCGGAATATCTCTTAAAATTCCGTAAACATAGGAAATTACACTTATCAACATGACGGTATCAACCTACTTAACCCATTCTATAAATGCCCGTTTTTCACGAAAATGGCAGGATAAGAAACGGAGAATCTTAAACGTCTAAACAAGCTTAATTTAACATTACGTATATTTAACTTTGACAAAAAAAAAGTGATACGAATAATAACAGTAGTAACGTCAAGATAATAAGAAATATATTGGAACTGCAACCTATTTACAGTAAAGGAAACGATCTATGACGATAGAGAAATTAAATAAATGAAAATTCTCATTCAATGAGAGAAAATGTTTCTTACACGCGTTCCGTGCCACGCGAGTACAAAAAGGAAATGTAACATTTCGAAATCCCAATTTGCATCTTCGTTGCAGGATTTATCATGGCTTACCGACATTTTCACGTAAGACCGACACTTTTTCGCAAGATGTAAAAATAAATCTTTATAACTGTATTTTATGTAGACGAAATATAACTTTTTTTTTTCTTTACAGCATTTGGCGTTTCAGTGCGGAGAGTAATTTAAACGTGTATACTCTCATAGAGCGATTGCAAGCTTGTGTCGAAAATGTTAATTTTGGATTGCACTTGGAGCGCAATTTTTCTTTCGCCGGATATTTCGCCTAGCCCTGTGGTACCACTGCCGGGTTAAGGATGAACAGGGTCCAGAGTACCATACATTTGAATTTATTACAAAGTCACATTTATTATCTCGACTCAGCTATCTCAGCGTCGTCGATAATACGAATCTGGTAATTCTATATACAATCTACCGAAATAAACGCAATAATCGGTAGTAAATAGCAATAGCGTCTTTCAAATCTCTTCGAAACTCCTCCTCCTTTCATTTACTTTCACCTCGTTGATATATTTTTCTTTTTTTAATAAGTGTGCTGAAAAATCGGTATAAATGTAACCTACGAAAAGGAGTAATATTACCGCAATAATCGTTCAATTGTAGCTTAGACAAAATTTGGAAGAACTGTAACGCCGTTTGTATCTTTCTTCTTTACATTTCCCTACTTCTACTATTGCCAACGCTATTTTATCCGGTAGTTTTTAGAAAATCGAACGGATACTCGTTAAATAATTATATCACGAGTACGAGATCGATCGTATATGTCACAGTTTACAGCTCGAGCACCATATTTGGCTAATGTCAATAGTAATTAAAAGCAAATTGGACAAATAAAATTTCGACAAGTCTAAAATCGCTACCACGTTTCTCCCTTCCTCTCTCTCTCTTTCTCTCCTTCTCGGTCTCGATTTGCTATCATTTTACGCTATGTTGCGACATTGTCGATAAACTTCGATTGATATTAAATACGATCTAATGCTAATCACTTACGTCTAGATCACTACAATCGGGTATTAACGTTATTAACGATGAGCGTTCAGTTAGTTTTCTCTCGCTGCATCTCGCGATGTTGGCTACTATGGCACTTGACTAATACTGACGCGCTGTTATTTTTTTCTCCCCTAAACTTCTAATACCTTACACGCTATCATCACGTCTAACAATAAATTTAACTCGAACAACGGTTCCCTATTTTTTTATCTATCAATATTCTCAACTGTCCTAGCGACCAACATCGTGTTCGAAACAGCAGTAAAGTTCGTTTATATAAAGTGCTACAGGTCTTCCACAATTTTTCTAAGATAAGTAATAATTACTTCGTAATAGTTTTGCTAACCAGCGACCGTCCGCCCTACTTGGCTTGGGCTGGGATCGGGGGAGACGCAGGGCGGCGGTATGGTATCCTTTTTTTTTCTTTTTGATTGGTATCGATCTAAATCTAGTATTTGGACGAAGTGCGAGGATGGGTCGTGCGTGCTTTTGCTTCCTAAATCGAGCGTGCGCAAGTTCTTATAATCTTTTTTTTTTACTTGTAGCCGTAAGCTTTACTTTCTTGTTTCCTTGACCAGAATTACGATTTATCTTCGTTAATAATTAATTTACTCGATACGTATATTCTCGAAAAGAAGGAGAAAAAGAATATTATTATTGCGAGTGTGTAAAAAGAACAGTGGCGGAAATCATGGAGCAGCCCTGAGAGAGAGCGAACAACGCATCTGGGAGTAGTGCATGTGCGCCTATGTATCCGTGTGGGTGTCTATATGTGTATCTATTGTGTGTATATGTGTGTAAATCTGTCGTGTATACATTTGTTTTGTTTTGTGTTGCGTGTGTGTATGTGTGTGTGTGTGCACGCGCGCGCGCGCGTGCATCCACGCGTATGAATCTCATGAGGATGAATGTTTCACTCAATGTGTAAATTGCGAATTTACTTATAATTTACTCTTTTTAACGTTTGCTTTAACCTCAAGTCTTAAGAGTCGTGTGACGCGAGTCCGCGCACCCGTGCCTCGAGTTTGTATACAAGTGACAACCTTCTACGCTGAATATCGACACTTCTGCAACAGAATCAACAGATTGTAACGTGAAACATGTATGTATACTTGAGGACGATGCTCGCGCAATGGTTTTGCGCCGGGCTTTGTAGATGAACGAAACTCTTACCATCAGGTAATTCATATAGTTTCCTAGGAAGAGAGGCGAAATAGGGATGTCGTAACGCTTCCTCCGCTCCTATCCGCTGATCGGGATTCAGTTGCAGGAGCGACGACGCCATACTGTCGCCCTCGGCGATATCGTAAAGCCGGGGAAACGAGAGTCCCAGTTTCCGCGGTGGATAAAATATCAGTCTATGCGCCTTGTACCCGGGCAGGTGCGTGACACCTGGCCAAGTCTCCTCGGTAGGCGTGCCCAACACTTTAAATATCTTATCGAGTTGGTCGTACGTACAGCGTACACCTGGGAATGTCGGTTCGCCAGTTAACATTTCCACAAATATGCAACCTACTCCCCACATGTCGAGCGAGGTGGAGTACTCTGTGGAACCTAAAAGAACGTCGGGCGGTCTATACCATAAGGTCACGACTTCGTGTGAGTATGTATGCGATGGCACGGATTTGGCCCTTGCTAGCCCAAAGTCTGCCAATTTAAGTTCTCCTATTTCGCTGATTAATAAATTCTGTGGCTTTACATCCCTGTGCAGTACCCTCCTGAAGTGATGCAGTAACAGAAATTAATCAACGCGCATCAGGACGAGAACACGGACGTTATGTACGATATAATTTGTAATTACCTGCGGTGACAGTACGCCAGCCCTCTCAATAGTTGAAAAAGAAACAATTTAACATTACGCGGATCCAATCCTCCGTTCCCGCTTCCATACCTCTCCATATATTGCGATAGATCGGTGTGAACGTATTCAAACACGAAGGTGAGCGTCTCGCGGGTATGAATGATATCGTGTAAAGTCACGATATTGCTATGCTTTAACTCTTTGAGGAGACTTGCCTCGCGAATGGCAGTAAACGGAGCTCCTTCCTCCTCTTGCAGTCTAATTTCTTTAAGAGCCACCACTTGATTAGTGAGATGGCTGTAGCCTTTGAACACTGTGGCATATGATCCCTCTCCCAACTGCTCCAGTTTTATATAAGCTTCGGATTTACCGAACGGCGAATCTCCCTGTTGAGACAAATACAGATTAATGTATATCGTTCGCTGCAAAGTGAATGCGAGCGAGTACGTGTGTAATATAATATTGTTACCCCAAAAGCGGAGAATCTTTTAGTTCTTCTAGGTGGGTCCGGACCAAGGAAAACCTCAGATTTCGGCCGCGGTGGACGTCGGGGCCGCAGAATTACCCTAGCTTCCTCCCGTATATCTTCATCAAGAAGCTTTGAATCGCTAGAAACCGAAAGCTGCCGATGCACTCTCTCGTGATCGCCCACACCTGTCCATTCTATGACAGTCCAATTTCAGAAAACATTCTTAAAATGACAGCAACAGAAATGCATCAAGTCGCAGATTTGTATAAGTTGTATGTAATGTATAACGCGGTTTGGTGCCGCTTTGTGCATTTAACACTTTGAAGCATAGCGGTACAATGTCCCGCTTTTTCAGTGCATTGTTAATATCACCTTCAAATTTGTGTAATTTTGTGTAATTCCAAACAATTCAAATGAAACCATTCTGTCACATTTTATAAAAATAAACCTTCCGCGCAACTTGGCATTCTTTGCTGTGAGATTTTGTGCCTCAAAGAGTTAAACAATCGCGTGTTAGCTATTCTCGCATATACATATACGCATGATGTCAACCGATGCATAATTAATATGCACAAAAATGAAAATGTTTTTGTGAAATTAAACGATATTCGATACATATTAATTATTTAACAAATGGAGATATCTTTCTAGTGTTTTTAGTAGCAGAATGTATCGCGAATGAGCGTATTATTATATGCATGTGAGAATTAGCTAACAAATAACTTAATAAAATTTGCCTGCACCAGATGGATTGTACGTTTATTATACTATCATCAATCATAGTATTAGTCAGAGCTTGGTATCTTTTTTTTCAGAAGACACCAATATAAATATAGATACAGATACTCTGGATCAATATTTGGCGTCGATATCGGTATCTCTTCCGGAAAAAGATACAGACACAGATACTTTGCGATAGTAGATAGATAGTATTTAGTTATTTTTCCGGTGCAAGATACAGATACTATATGATGGTAGATAAGCCAGTATCTGTATCTTTCTTCGGAATAACGACGAGCGCGTCTTACATCTACATTTAAAAGGCATTCGAGAGATGCAACGTATCTCTTCGCAGAATAAACTGAAGATTTATCTCGTATCTGCACCTCTGACGACAGACAGATACCAAGCTCTGGTATCAGCTGACAAAATGGCTTTAGAAAATGTGTGTCCGACATCAAGCGCATTTATACTGTTTCAAAAGATACGAGCTAAATTTTTTGTATTTGCTTCTTACCTAAAAAAGAAAAAAATTATACTGTCTAGAAAACGTTATTGAACTTACGAGCGTCTATTTATAATGTTTTCAGACGAAGCTCACCATAACGACGATCTTTGTCCGCAGGTATGTTGCCATTCGGCTCCAAGCGGTCTAGGAACTCCTCAGAATAACCATTATATGGCAATTGACCTCTGGTTGCTACATCGTCAGCCTCTTCTTTTGATATAGCTGTAAGAAAATAAGGAGCACTTGAACGACGTACGCTATTTACAACAATTATATCCAGTTGGCAAACATCCAGTTAACAGTTCACGACTCGCTCAATTGTGTCAAACCATTTTACACGTCGATACAAATCTTTTCAACATCCGCGACATCGATAATCGGACCTACAAAACACCTTAATCACGGTCCACGAAGAACAAATATTGACGTTAATATTTAAAAAAAAGGCGTCGAGAGATAATCAAGCTTAATCATCGCCGATACCCTCGGCTGAATTTTTATCAACGCGAAAGTAATCGTCCATATATGGAAAAAGGAAAAGGTACTTACAAAGCCGTCCAAAGCTGTGACTGAGGCGTTTCTTTAGTTTCTGCACTCTGCTGAGAGCGCCGCCCTTCTTCTCCCGCATTGTCACAGGCCCTGCGTAACAAGCGCAACATTTAAACAACCATTTGACACGCACACGCACCGCGCGCAAGTCGAGACGAGCATGACATCATACAACAGAAGGCCAAGAACATCAGAGTAATTCAGATATAACAGATCATTACGGTGACATCACGCGCCGCGTTATGCTCCTTAATAATGATGATAGAGGCGTATACGTGCGTCGCATTCCTCTCAAATGACAACGCGAGCGACTTGGCGCGTGGAGTCGCACGCTGCGAGAGAGCGCGCGCGTGCGATTGCATTGTGCGACGCAAACGAGAAGCGGAACAACGGGAAAGGGTTCCGCCAATTTCTCTCCCGCGGCGGATAATACGCGCCGATGCGATCACGCGGGGGGGGGGCAGGGGGAGGAGGAGGAGGAGGAGGATTCCTCCTCGTCGCGAGCTGGCCGAGACCCGCGTCTCGCTCCCGTTACGAGGCGTAATGACGCGAACGTAGGCGGTTCTGTCGCGGGTCACAGTGATGCAATTCGCTCCGAGCGCGGGATGATTCATCCGCTCGTAATACGGAAGGCGGCGGGATCGCCGCGAGGACGAGGGCGGGCAACCTTCCGGTTGTCAATTCGGCCCGGGACCAACCGCCGCCGCGCGACACTCGCCGTCGCGGGCAGAAACTCGGGAACCGCCGTATGTATACGGCACATGACACGCCATTCAGTCACACGTACGTGCACGCACACGCGAGCGCGACTTCTGCGCGCTCGCACGCATACATACACACGCGCGCGCGCGCGCGCATATGTTCCGCGTACAGGTAGTTACAGCGCGGAGCGGTTCAACGAACTAATATACATTAGTTTCACGCGTCGGATAACAAATCTCGGGCGCCGAGACGTCGGAGGTGTCGGAGCGGAGGAGAGCGCGCGGGTCTCCTCGCGCTGCACAAGAGATCGCATTGTGCTCGTCGCGCGCTCGCGCGCGCGCGCGCGCGAGCCACGTTGAGCCGCTGCTCCTCGCTGGAGAGACGCGAGTCCCGCGATCGAGGGTGATAAGTCGAGCGAGGGGGGAAAACCAGTGCAGTTTCTCTCGCCCGAGCTGCACACTGCAGAGCTCCGTCCCTCTTCTGCCGTCGGGAAGCGATACGCGCGCGCGCGCGCGCAAGAGAGAGAGAGAGAAAATTATTTTCATTTTCTTTCTCCCCCTTCCCACGCGCCCCCTTCTTTTTTCTGTCACTCCGCTCCGTCCTTCTCCCATCTCTACGCGAACGATCCTGGAACGGAACTCCCTTTACCTCTCTCTCTCTCTCTCTCTCTCTGTCGCACAGCACACATACGCACGCACACACTCGCTCTTTCTCTCTCTCTATCTTTATCTTCCTCACCTTGTTCGCACGCACACAAAAGCGGTCCCCGAGAGCCGATAAGAAACGTCGAGCCGGGGACGTCAGCGCGAACGGGGAGAAAGGATGCGCGTGAAAAGCGCGTCCGCGCTCGGCGGCCGACTTACCCTCTTTGCTCTTGGAGGCGGTCGAACCCTTGTCCTGGCAATACATGATTACTCATTCGCTCGCACGCGCGGGACACATCACATATGGGCGGTGACGCACTCGGCTGCGTGTGTGGGTGTGTATATACGTGTGTGTGTACGCGCCGCCGCCGCCGCTGCCGCTGCTACCGCCGCCGCCGCCGCCGCTGTGTTTTTCCCTCGGCCGATGCTCCTGTGGCGACCCCGGGCGCCGTGCTCCCTAGCGCGCGATCCTCTCACGTCGCTCGTGCCGTCGTCCCGTGTCTCGGTGCTGCGCGCGCGGTACCCGTTGCGTCGCCTCGCGCCATGAAAACGCCTCCGCGCGAGCCCCGTGGACGACGGCGACGGCGATGGGATCCCTGCGCGCGGTGCGCGCCACCGCGAGGATATTTTGCACCACCGCCGAAACTCGCCACCGCCGAGATCGCCACCTCCGGTGGCACAGGTTCGCGCGATAGGGGCAAGGTTCACGTCGCTTCAATGCACCCACACACACGCACACGCACGCACGCACACGCACACAAACGCACGCAGGCACACAGATGCACGCACTCGCGCTCGCTCTCCTTTCTGTATTTTTCGCCTACTTCTCGCGTCCCGACGAGAGATCGCGACGTCGGCCGATCCGCCCGCGCTGCGCTTAACCCTGCTGACGGCGGGTGCTCGCGCACGCCACCAACTACCTCCGGCGAATCATCTGCGATCGGCTGCCGACCGGTCGACTCCGAGAGATCTGTCTCGCAACGTCGCGGATACTGCCCACCACCTCGCACCGCGCACGACACGAAAGTCTCGCGAGCATAGAGTATGCTCGCGAGCCACGCGCGCGCGCGTGTCAGAACGTAGAACCTAGAGCGGCGACTCGGGCGACCGTCGCCGTGTCCGCGGTCGCGCCGAGACGCATGCGCGTTGATCGCGCAGAGGGGAAAGAAGTAACCGGACCGGACGAGCGCGACGGGAAAAAGTTGGCTCTCACCAGCTCTCACCCATAGACTTCTATAGACGGAACCTTTTACGAGGGGTAACTGATAATCGCGGTAAGGGGATCACTCGTCTGACTTCGACTCTTTCCGGTGAGATTCGGTAATATTCGGTTCACATTTCCAATACGTGTGCACACGTATATACGGCGCGTTGTTTGTGTGCGAGCGAGCGCGCGCGCGTGGCCGAACGAATCATCCCCTCCAACTTGGAGTGGGGATGATCCTGGATGGGGATTGGAAATGTGAACCGAATATTACCGAATCTCACCGGAAAGAGTCGATGTCAGATGAGTGCCTCCGCGCCCCGAATATCAGAACCCCTCTTGCCCAGAGTCGTAGTTAACATTCCGTCTATAGAAGTCTATGCTCTCACCAACTAGCAAAGGTGCAAGAAAACATTGTGCCGCTGGCTTATAGCGTTTTCGATTTTCTGACTCGACCCGACCCCGAGTCAGCAAATCGAAAACGCTATTAATTAAATTACGGCTAACTTCCGAGTCAATGAACATTTAATTAAAACTATCTGACTTACTCATAAATCTTTTTAATCGCACTTCATAACTCTTCATATAAAATATACGCGATTTTCTATAAAAACTTTGTTTAATTTATCTATTCCGGCCAGTGAACTCTATACATACTGGAATGAGTGATCTATAGTTCTGGCTGTTGCCGAGAGAGAGGTGCGTTGGGTGAATCCTTGTCTCCTTCTAGTACTACCTGATTGGATAATCGCATATAAATGACTCCCTTCTTCTCGTCATTTATATGCGACTATCCAATCAGGTAGTACTAGAAGGAGACAAGGATTCACCCAAACGCACCTCTCTCTCGGCAACAGCCAGAACAATAGATCACTCATTCCAGTATGTATAGAGTTCACTGATTCCGGCTTAATGCCAGATAACAAAATAATTAATTAATTACCAATAAACGAATGACTCGTAAACCTTTTCAATTGCACTTCAAACGTCTTTATACGAAATACAAACGATTGCAAATAGGAGTTATTTAAAAATACGTTCATTTCCGGTTAAGTGCGAGAGCCAATGGCCGCGTTCAGCAGACACAACTGTTGAGTGAGCGCTCAGTATGATTGGCTAATACTTTTAGATCCAGCCAATCATGTTAAGAAATCATTGAGCGCTCACTCAACAGTTGTGTCTGCTGAACGCGGCCAGTGGCTGTGTTCTGCAGAAGTTAGCGCTTAATAAGCGCTTTATGCTGATTGGATAGATCTAGAAGAATAGCTCTATTTCAGCACAGATCTGAAAGTATAATCCAATGAACGCAAAGCGCTTAGCAAGCGCTAACTTCTGCTGGACACAGGCAATAATAAGTTTGTTTTCTGTTCCCGTACTGGTAAACTAATACAGTAAGCTAGAAAAAATATACTTGTCTCACTCTAATTTATTGCACTAGTTCACCAATGCAGGAACAGAAATGGTTAGATCCCATGCAATGATCTTGTACTTAAAATAATCTTAAGTACAAGAGCATCGCACAGGACCTGACTATAGCACGAAACGCAACCAAAATTTCGCAAATCTGCGTTATCCACTTGGCAAAATGTGGACATTGGCTACGTAGTTCAATGTCCACGTTTTCAATGTCCACAGAGGGCGTATCGCATTCGCCAATCACGAAAAACGGGGCCGTGACATCTCTCAGGCTTCTCTCTGATCGCACACAAAATTGCATAGCTGCATGTGCATAGCATGAAAGCCGTTTAAACGGTTTAAACCAATGAACATCGAGCATTGAGTCGCCATATTGATTTACATAACATGCTCATTGGTCCAAACGGTCTTGTGCTATGCATATGCAACTATGCAATTTTGTGTGCTATGCATATGCAACTATGCAATTTTGTGTGCGATGGCCCTTATTAGCCACTTTAAAGCGGGGAACACACGCCTTTGCATAAGTGCATAAGCATATGCATAACGAATTTGATTGGTCCATTTTCTTATGCATTTGCTTATAGACTAATCAAATTCATTATGTATATGCTAGGCCCGGTTTCACCAACGCGAGTTAATCTAATCGGTCGGTTAACTTTCAGGGTGCCAACATAAAACTTCTTTATTAATTACCTATTTTCTTGGTATCAGTTTTATGTTCGGCTTGGTGAAACCGGGCCCTTATGCAAAAGTGTGTGCTCCCCGCTTTAGAGACGCTTTTATCGATGGAAGAGGCTGCAGAATACCGGCTTGTGTGTATTAGGCCTGAAACCCAGTGATGCCAGCCGAGAACGTTTACCCACTTGGAGTGGGGACGATCCGTTCGGCCACGCGCGCGCGCAACTCGCACACAAGCAACGCGCTGTATATACGTGTGCACACGTATTTACGGCGAGTTGCTTGTGTGCGAGAGTGCGCGCGCGCGTGGCCGAACAGACTATCCCCACTCCAACCCCCACCACCGCTACAGCGTGTGGGCAAACGTTCTCGGCTGGCATCACTGCTGGAGCCCGATTCTCGAAATCATTCCAAGAAGAAACGTATACGAATATTCTGCTCTGACAGAAAAGTTGAAAGTCGATTGGTTAAAGCCATGCGAATAGCCAATCAACTTGCAACTTTTCTATAAGAGCAGAATTTTCGTATACGTTTCTCCTTCGAACAAATTCAAGAATCGAGTCCCTGCACTATGTTCGATACTCGACGTCGAGAGTGCTCGGGTGTATCGATAGTATCGATACCCGATCCGCGGCTCCGGGCCATGTTCTCGCGCGTCGTCGCACGTGCAAGTGTGCGCTGTCGCCTTGTGAGTCAGCAAAACGGGAAGGGAGTTGGCGATAATCTGTTGTCGCGGCTGTTACGTGGAGCGAGCACCGTCGGGAACGGCGGCGAGACATCCTACGGTGCGGTTTACTGCGGTGTGAGCGCGAGCGTAGCTGCCAGCGTGCCGAGCGTAGCGACCATGTCGTGCGACGAGAAGCCGTTTCGCCGTCTGCCGTTGTGCGCGCGTCCCTACCACTACGATATCTCGTTGACGCCGAATTTCACCGCCTTCACCTTCGACGGCACGGAGAACGTGCACCTCAACGTGAGTACGGCCGCCGGGTCTCTCCCCGTCCGTCGCCGTCCCTCCTCGTCCCTTCCTCGAGCGGTGAAGCGAGTCGAGAGGGCGACGGGGAACAAAGTGGCCGCTAACCATATGGGAAACATAACCAAGAAACGCCCCTCCCTCCCGCCCCCGCCTTTCCCGTTCGCCGGTTCTACGTGGGCTGTTTGAGCAGCGTTCAGCTCGAGTTTGATTGGCAAACACCGCGGCCCGCCTTATCGCCTAATTGCCGGCAATCGCGATTTAATCCTTTCGACAATTTGCCTAACCTTCGTTAATTCCGCAACGTCACCTTTGATTGCGTTTGCCGACGTTATCTATTGTATTTCTCCCCGAGGGACCCCTCGGTGGTATTTTTCACGCTTATCTTTGCGACGCACGATGATTACTGCGAATTTTCCCTTTCTCCCCCCCGCCGACTGTCTAATTTCTCTCGTTTCTTTTCTTCCGGATTACAGGTGGAAACCCCGACGGACACCATTGTGCTGAATTCCTTGGAAATTAAAATAAAAAGCGCGACTTTCAACGCGAACGATGGCAAGACTATCGTCGCCAAGAAAATTGAGCTGTCGACGTCCGAAGAAACGGCCATGCTGGTGTTTCCTGAGGCTCTGCCGTCCGGCAAGAGCGGATACCTGAATATAGAATTCGTGGGCGAGATCAACGACAAGATGAAGGGCTTTTACAGGAGCAAGTACACCGGGTAAGAATTCAGCTTGCGGTTTTGCAATATTTAAAGAGATGACGAAATCGCTTGCCTCCGTCCGTCAGTTTGATCAGGAAGAGGATCCCTTTTCGATAATCGCCTCAATTGTGTTGGTTCGCATCTGACAATTATGTAACGCGTGGACAAGCGAGGGCAATGTCAAACTCTGTATTTATGTGTATCTTCCAAAGGCAAGACGGTAGCTGCGCCGTAACTTATTTGTGCCCCACGTCGGCGCGCCAGTTTTTCCCGTGCTGGGACGAACCGTCCTTCAAAGCAACCTTTGATATACACCTCACGATCCTATCTCAAGCGTCCCTCGTCGGATTATCGAACATGGTGAGCATAATCAATACAACGCAGAATGTTTTATGATTTCAGAGAGAACGGTAGCGTTGAACACGCGGCGGTTACCCAGTTTGAGCCGACAGATGCTAGACGTTGCTTCCCATGCTGGGACGAACCGGCGCTCAAAGCCACATTTGACATTACGCTAAAAGTACCGATCGGTCTTACAGCACTTTCCAACATGGTAAGCAGCGCCCGGCATCTGCGATATTATTCGCTTCTGTTTTGCTCCTTTATATCTTGATTTGCACATTTTTGCCTTATCTCTCTTGCTTTTGCCTGCGTGTTACTTCAAGTTAATATTTTACACCGACTATCAGTCTCTTCTTTATCTCGTGGCGTTTAATATATACACGTGCGTTTGTTTTGGTTTTCAGCCTGTGAAAAGCAAAGTTACAAATGGCAAATACGAGACATTGACTTTTGAAAGAACGCCTATCATGTCGACGTACTTAGTGGCCGTAGTAGTAGGCGATTTCGATTACATAGAGGACACGTCTAGTGACGGTGTATTAGTTCGAGTTTATGTGCCCAAGTCCAAGAAGGAGCAGGGCCAGTTCGCCCTGGAAGTAGCCACGAAGGTGCTACCTTATTACAAGACTTACTTTGGCATCGCGTATCCCCTGCCGAAAATCGACCTCATAGCGATCGCCGACTTCTCGTCCGGCGCTATGGAGAACTGGGGACTCGTCACGTACCGCGAGACCTGCTTGCTCGTGGACCCGCAGAACACGTCGGCGGTGCGCAAACAGTGGATCGCGTTGATAGTGGCGCACGAGCTGGCCCACCAATGGTTCGGCAATCTCGTCACGATGGAATGGTGGACGCATCTGTGGCTGAACGAAGGCTACGCGTCGTTCGTCGAGTTCCTCTGCGTCGCGCATTTGTTCCCGGAGTACGATATCTGGACGCAGTTCGTGACCGACACGTACATCCGAGCGTTGGAGCTGGACGCTCTCAAGAACAGTCATCCGATCGAGGTGCCGGTCGGCCATCCATCGGAGATCGACGAGATCTTCGACGACATATCGTATCACAAGGGCGCCTCCGTGATCCGCATGTTGCACGCGTACATAGGCGACGACGATTTCAGGAAGGGTATGAATCTGTATTTGAAGAGGCACAGCTACGCCAACGCGGAGACCGAGGACCTCTGGGCCGCGTTGGAGGAGACCAGTAACAAGGCCGTGCGCAGGGTGATGTCGTCGTGGACCAAGAGGCAGGGTTTCCCCGTTGTCAAGGTCGACTATCATCAGAAGGGCGACGATAGGGTCTTGTCGTTGTCTCAAGAGAGATTCCTGGCCGACGGCTCGGTGGACAGCAGCGCGGATAACGCGTGGCTCATACCGATAAGCGTGAGCTCCTCGCAGGACCCGAGCAAGACGATATTCGACGGCATATTGGACGCGAAGAGCAAGGAGTTTGTAATCAAAAACGTTCCCGAGGGCACGTGGCTCAAGATCAATCCCGGCACAATCGGCTTCTACCGTACTCGTTACAGTCAGCCCGCTCTGTCGCTTTTGTTGCCCGCGATCAAGGATCACACGTTACCCCCACTCGACAGACTAGGTTTACTGGACGACCTCTTCGCGATGGTACAGGCAGGTTACGCATCCACGGTGGAGGTGCTCGAGTTGATGCAGGCGTTCCTGCACGAGGACAACTACACCGTGTGGTCTACTATAGTGAATATCCTAAGTAAAATCGGCATTCTCATCTCGCACTTGGACTTCGAGGATTCTCTCAAAACGTTCGGGCGTAATCTGTTCCGCGACGTTAACGCCAGATTAGGCTGGGATCCTAAGCCGAACGAGAGTCATTTAAATACCTTACTCCGAGCTCTCGTGTTGGGCCGTATGGCGGCTTTAAACGACCAGGACACCATCGAGGAGGCCAAGAGAAGATTCGAGCTGCACGTAAACTGCACGACGACGCTCGCCGCCGACTTGCGCAGTCCGGTTTACCGAGCCGTGCTCTCCGTGGGCGACGCCAGTACCTACGAGACTATGATAAAGTTGTACAAGGAGGCCGATCTTCAGGAGGAGAAGGAGCGGATTCTGCGAGCGCTCGGCGCGATCAAAGACGAGGCACTGCTGAGAAAGGTCCTGGACTTCGCCATGAGCGAGGAGGTCCGTGCTCAAGACACTGTATTCGCCATCATGTCCGTCGGGCTGTCGTACAAAGGCCGTCTCATGGCGTGGAACTTCTTCAAGGAGAAGTGGAAGACCCTGCTGGACCGTTACGAGGGCGGCTTTTTACTGGCGCGGCTGGTCAAGTTCACCACGGAGAACTTCGTCACCGAGGAGCAAGCCAAAGATGTAGAGACCTTCTTCGAGGGTCACCCGACCCCGGGCACCGAAAGAACGGTGCAGCAGTGCGTGGAGTCCATTAGATTGAACGCCGCATGGCTCGCCCGAGAAAAAGACTCCATCAGAAAATACCTGACCACTCGAGTCTAGTAAAGACAGTTCTGGTTTTTTTCCCTCTCCGTTACCTTAACAGGACATTTGGCACAATTCGAAACCGCGTACAAACCGACGGTTTTATTACACGAACATCTTATGGTACTGCTCGACATTGTGAAGGGACGTTAATTAGGTACGGACTTGTCTCTCGTGTATGAGATAATACATAAATAATCTGATAAACCACGTGTAAGCTTGACGGAAAACGCTAATTGTTTAATGTTGGCTAGAAATTTCACCGAGTTAAACAGAAAGAAATGAAAGGAGAAATACAGTTTTGTATACACCTATTATATCCTATTGGATTAGTCATCTTGGTAATCCGAAACACTTTACAGCGTTCTCGCTTAACTCTTCCCGATGCTATCATTAGATTCCATCATTTCGTGTCCCGTCATTCATGGGAAAAGATTATAATATTTAATATAACTACTAATATTTCTCAAGTATCTCTCATTTATTGTATGCGGAAAGTTAAAAACTGGAAATATATTAATATTTTTAATTTTTAGTGACATGCTAAAGCAATATTTGCATACAATACACTGCAGCAATATTTAAAGCAGAATCTATTTAAAACATGATTTATATGTAGATATAATTTAGAGAAGCCAGTTGAAAGTTGATTGCGTTTGTATTGTTGTTTATTCATATATGATCCGTTTGCAAGATGCTCTCGATTTGTAGATAAACTGTACCAGCGGTATCCATATAAACGAACTGCATTCGAACGTAATCTTTTTATGAGAATTTATTCATGAAATGGTAATTCGCTTAAAAAAAGCTCTTATCTCGAAATAAAAATGAAGTAATTATATTAAATTTGTCTAAATTAAGTACCATTTGAATAAAATATTACGTTTTAAGATCCGATGCACAGACGTCCACTTTCGAAATTTGTGAAGTATCACGAATATGTTAAAAAATTTTCCTAACGTTCCTCTAAAACTTTGATAACCTTTTGACACTTTTCAGATATTTCTTGGATTTCATTTTTGGGTCATTATGTTATCGCCGCTAACAGAGAATTAGAGTACTCCTGCTCAACCATCAATGACATTTCATAACCAGCTTTATAGCGCTATACAAAACTTATTGGCATGTAGCCCCATAACACGTACAAATTATAGTCTATAATACAGACAGTTGTTTACTATCAATGTTAGGTGCATGCACGCTACAATTATCTCAAACATTAATAAATACATATCATCTCCCTTGTACTCGTAACGGAGAAACTAGCTAGCGTCTTTTCTCGATACGATCAGTTTTGCAATTGATTCTTCCCGTTTTCCATATATTTCGTGCATTGATTATCTGCACGCACTAGTCTGGCAATTTGAAGTCAAAGTGTTTTATAATTGTATCGAGAACGCGTAGCTGTTGTAGAAGGGACGATATCGAGCGTGTTTCCGCACAGGTGCGAACTCGGTCAAAATTCGATCAGAGTTTAACAAAGGTTCAAGGTAAAATTGCTTCGGGGAATGAAAACGAAACGTTAGGGCGCTTCTCGTGCTCCGACGTCGCGATGAAACACTTTTCATATCGACCGTCGTAGAGCGCAGTCCCCCGCGTTCGACGGTCGCACGTGCCGAGACAAGGAGGGAAGATGATCCCGGTAGTGAGTCAGCCTTCATTTCCATTATCAGCGTGCTGCTCGCAATCGTCGACGCTTGCTACGGAGTTGTAGCCCGCTACCCTCGCGTCGGAAGAAAGAGAGAGAGAGACACTCTTGTCCTCCACCTATTCCGTTGCTGCTCAAAATCGGAGCAAGAAGTATTTGATACTTGTCGATGCGCGTGGCGCTATTTGTAACGACAAATCTATAGTAAATTTAAGCGGATGGATATTTCCGAGAAAGACAGATCGAGCGTCGCTTAACTTTAATTTTAGTTTAATTCACGTTTGTCTCTTTCTAATGTAACAGTTGGAAAGAGACAAAGAACGAATTAAGCTAAGCTTAAAGTTGAACAACGCCGGTGAAACCGGGCCCAAGGCTCGGTTTCGCCAAACGTCGCTTAACTTTAATCTTAGTTTAATTCACGTTTGTCTCTTTTTAAAGTATATAACAGTTGGAAAGAGACAAAGAGCGAATTAAGCTAGGCTTAAAGTTAAGCGATGTTGGTGAAACCGGGCCTGTTACTTTGGAGAGCGACAGACGTGAATAACCGAAGATTAAAGTCGAACGACGTTTGATGAAACCGGGCCTAAATCCTTTAGCCTATCTACAATGTGCTCTTTGCGTCTAGATTATAGCCGATGAATGCGTTTAAAAAATTTGTGCATTATACGTTGCACAATCGCGCGTTGTCGGCAAAGTTTTCGAGCGTTTCGATTTACTGGTACCAAATAGAATGTTTCCAGGCCGCAAAGGACACATTGTAGACCAGGCTTTTAACGACGGAGCGTACAGATACGATCACGAGAAGACGAAAACTCGCGTCGTCTTGATTCCACCCGACTTCACCAGGCATCGACGTGGCAGCGATTCGGCGGGGTAAACTCCAGATACGCGTACAATCGCGATTTATAACGATCCTTCCTCCCCGAATCTCGCGGATCGACCTCGATGCTCTCCGAACTTTTGATATTTCCTAACGTTACGAGCGCAAGGGAGTCGAGAGAGAGAGAGAAAGAGAACACCAAGGGCTAACACACTTGGACTTTGAATGCTCTTGGAGGATCGTTCAGATCCTTCGGGGGAAGAGGAGGGAGCAATAAATGCGCCCCCTCGTTCGCGCTCGCTCGAGCACCATCGGTGGGGGGGGGGGGGGGGAGAACGGACGGGGAAGAGGAAGGGCAGGGAGATAAGGGAGAAAGAGCGAGTCGGCGAGGGCACATGGGGTCGGTTCCCGTGGGTATCGCCCGGATCGAGCGTTCCCAGGAGCGCGCACGTGACCCGCGCGTCAGAAGACGATCAATACGGGACTTTGCTGAGACTCCTACACCCCACCGGGAGGACGACGTGTGTCGCCCTTGCACGATCCGCACACATCCTTCGCCCTCCGACGAGACTGACGGCGACGGGCAGGACGGCCGTGTGTCACCTCGCACGTGTGCGTAGATTGTCGCGCGCACGTGCTGCCCATTTAGCTGCCCCCCCCCCCCCGCCCCTCCCGTCCGCTCGCCGCCCCTCG